AGTATGCATCGCTGAAATATTCCTTGTAAAAAGAATGGAGGTATGTCACATATTTATCTGTGACCTTTGGTTTTGATATCCATTCAAATCAGAACCCCATTTATTATATTTCACTATTGAAAGCCAGATAGACTCGGTGCACCTAATAGTGAAATACAGCCAAATGCAATGTGATAATTAGAATCTAAAGAGAGACAGATGAAAAACAACAAAAATAAACACTCAGCTGACAATTAAAGTCAATCTTCAAAGGGCAACTTGAATAAAAAATGCCTTTGTCTAATGGCAGAAGGTTAGTGGGAAAAGAGCTAGGCCATTTTAGATGCTTGAGGTTTTTGTTATAATCATACTGGATTTATATTGATGCTGCAGCACAGAGGCAGTATTCCCTGATGTGAGACCGCTCATTTATTCTTGCTTAATTTATTTAAATGAGAAAAAATAAATAAAGGTAATAAATTGGGAAATTACTGGTAGAAAATTATAGATTGATAACAATTGGAAAAATGATCATTTCCAGGACATACACTTTTATTAAATTTTGAGTTGTTTAGTTTACAACACCTGGCAATGTGTGAATTATTCAAACAAGTCACATTGGGACTCTGAATTTTTATGTGTTTGGAATACTGTTTTGCAGTCAATATTTGTGCTTCTACAAAGAAGAAATTCAACTCGCGTTTATTGGCAGTCATGGACCAGAATATAAACAGTCTTAGACTTAGAAAAACTTGAGATATATGTTATCAAACCTATTAGTGTAACAGCTGAACTGATAAGATCTCTGTTATAGCAGACCAAAGCTCTATTAAGTCAAAATTTCTTTTTCAGACAGCACTTAAAAAGATGTGTGAAATGAGGAGCAGATTATTTTCCAGTACACAGTTTTCAAAGATGCTTACCACTATAGAGAAAACAAAGATCCATCAGTCTCCTTTTAGATTCACTGATGTATAGCTAATAGATCAACAAAATTGACAAAACAATCTGAGAGGTATGAAAATATAACGAAGCTATATTTTCAAATTTTAGTTTTGGGGGAAGAAAAAGGCATTTTCCTCATAAACAAAAAAAGTTCTTGTTTTAATAACAAGTATTTTAAATAGAAGAGAATTTGCCAACGTAACTGAATCTGGAGACAAATGACATCAGAACTGATAGATGAAAGTACTATAGCTAGAAAGCACTTCCTCATCAATAGGTGGGAATTATATTTACAGTAGGATGACATTATTGTCACCAAGTCCTGTTATTCTGTTATTTCCCTTGTCAGGAGCAATTATTAATCTAAATTTATGCAAACCTCTTTTAATAGAGGTTCAAATTATAATGAAATCTCAATTTAAAGGACTGGTTGAGGAGTGTGCATGGCTGTTATTCCCGATTGTCTGTTAAATTGAAAAGTACATCATAAAGTCACTTGCATAATATCATTACAGATTTGCATAATATCATGATGCAAATGCTACAAGATTTCATCTGCAACATTCACAGTCTGTGGCACTGATAGTCCACTCAATAGAGGTTTCTCTGTGGTGAAGAATTAGAGACTCAGTGGAACACAAAAATACAAATGAAAGTGAGTAGATCATCAGATTGGTGCCCTATTAATATATCTTGACAAAAGGATCCTTTTCTTGATTTTACTGATTACAAAGTTCAAGAAGAAACATTGGATGTCCTCTCCTGAAATTAATTTATTAAAAAAAGATTTGCATCTTCTTTACAGTCCCATCTTGAAGGGACTGTAAAGAAGGGACCAATTAGACCATTTAATACAATTTTCTATTTAATGCAGTAATCATTTGTGATAGATGGTGGCCCAGCTTTCACTCAAATGATTCCACTGCTGGTTCCATCGTTGAATTTATAATTAGAAGTCATAGCTAATCTTTTCATGTTCCTCAGGGTTTCTTGATGGACAACTTGTCATTTATCTAAAATACTTGTATAACTCGTCAATGTCTCATGAAAAAAAAACATTTTCAGCCACATAGAAAGGATAACAGAAATGGAACATTTTTAAACATATCTGCAGGGAAAATAGTGCATATAAATGTACTACTTCTTTTCAAGATACGACTATTTTCAGTGTGACCACACTGTTAAAAAATAGTGTAAAATATAGCAATATAGACTCCAGAGTAGGGAGTTTGGCTCTTGTTTCATAGGGATGCCTTAAAAACATGCAATTTAATTCTTCTACGAATTCCTTTTAAATTTATCATTAAGATAGGCTTTGAGGTTGAAATTTCAATTATAAAATGGACTAACTTTCCCTTTGGTGGAAATTTGCAATTCAAAAATCCAGTCGGACAAACAATCAAAGGCAGCATTGGTCAATAAACATACTGAACACAGTATTAGACATGTCCATTGTCCCAAGCACACAATGACTATCTTCCTTTTTGTTAATGGCAGTGATTTCAGACACAGCTGAAGCAAAGTTTCCAGTTGTGTAGCTGGTTATTTTGAATAATTAAATGGTGTCACAACCAGCTGTGATGAATTGGACTGGGGTCTCAATTCATAAATAATTGAGGAGACGGTACTGCATTTGATCAGTCCTATCAACTCCTGCTCTCCCGAGGATAAATGTTTGTCCTGAATACCATCAACATTGTTAAATACCTCAATGTTCCTGTTCAGTCATCCAGCCAAGAGTCAATTTGACTAAATCACTTTTAACACCTTGCACAGCCGCTGTCCTCATGAATACAAAATGCTCATGAGTGGCACAATAGGATTTTTCTCCTATTATTTGGGGGTCGGTGTGTAAATTATGAAACAATGCAGCCAATATTTAAGCAAATAAGCAAAAAATCTTCAGGAATATGCCAGAAGGAACCAGGTTTTGTACAAGGGCCTTATTTTGTACAAGGTTGAACACAGAAATGTTCCTTATCAAACCAACAATTTTGTTAACAGTCATTTATGTGTAAATATAGCTGCCTTTAATGATTTAAACATGGCCGTTTTAACACCTGATTATTAAAATATGTGGAGGCCTGAAACCATATTTCTGCCTCCGGTCCTGAGAGAGATGACACAACAGCTGCATGCTATTTTTGGCTGTGAGAGCTCAAAAGATCCCTCCTTCTTGACAGCTATTTCAAAGCCCAATTGTGCTGAAAGGAACACAGAGTATTCAGAATGGTTAATACTGGCTTTTGGGAAAACTGTTTTTGCTGATTAGACCCTGAGTCTGTCACTGTCATTAAGCATGAAGCTGTGTTTATCTAAGCCACATGATTTATAAACCCAGGGAGCACATGGAGTCAGATGAACACACAGCTGCAGTAAGCACTTGTGTTTCAAAGCTGTAAATGTCTTCAACATGCATGGCCTTGGTTTCGGTTGCTGATGGTCAATCCTATATCATAGTTATCACATTACTGGTTTTAAATTATTCCAGGTTTTTTTTTTCCTTGAGTGAGATGCAGCTTTTTCAACTTTCTCAACTTCCAAACATTGTAGTTTAATACATGTTATCAGACAGGATTGATTGATCGATCAATTCATTCATTCATTCATTCATTCATTCATTCATTCTTTCCTCATTCATTCATTCATCCATTCATTCTATTTATATAGGTAATTATGGTAGCTCCAGCACCAGTAGTATGATGTCATACCAGCACAGATGCCACATTGACATTTATTTCTCTGAATCTCATAATCTCTTGAAAATTCTTTCAAAAGAAAGTGCTCTCAGGAAGATGATTCGGCTTCCGTCACAGTCAAAGTTGTTTCTTCTTTGGCTGTCCTTTGAGAGGTGAACGTTGCTAATGCCAGCTCCCTTGGCTTAGGCTTAGACTTAGACTTAGTATAACTTTGTCACTTTGAATGTACACTAATTGGCATACATTAAAATGAATTTTTGTTGCATATAGTTCTCAAAGCTATCCACCTCCAATATACAACCCATAACTGTGACAAAATAAATAAATACAAAATTGTGCATATACCATATATATGATACAGAGAAACAACACCATCTAGTCTCGATGTACACATGTACATAGCGAGAGAAACGGATCTTGAGAGTTTACCAGACGGATGACGTAGGGAACAAAGCTGTTACAGAATCTGGTAGTCCTGCTAGAAATACTTTGAAACCTCTTCCCAGAGGGGAGCAACAGAAACAGACAGTGAAGTAGGTGTGTCGGGTCTCTAACAACGCTTTGAGCTCTAAGCACATAGTGCTTATAAGCATATCCTGAATAACAGGAAGCGAGCTTCCTCTAATCTTCTCTGCTGTCCTTACCACTCTCTGTATGGACTTTCTATCTGAGGCACTGCAGCCAACAAAGCAAACAATGTTGCAGTTTGTTAAAATGCTCTCAATCATGCCTCTGTAAAAAATAGCCAGGATAGAAGAAGAAAGATGCGCTCTCCTCATCCGACGCAGGAAATGCATACGCTGGTTTGCATGCTTCACTAAGGATGATGTGTGGAGAGACCAGTTCAGATTGTTAGTTGTCTGCACCCTCAGCTATTTAATACTGTTGACCACCTCTATAGCTGCATCCTTGATACTGAATGGAGTATGGCTTATGTGCCTATTGCTCACTTGATGTCTCCACTGATAGTCTGCTGCTTTTTTCCCAGGCTTCAGTGTTTCCAGTAATGGAGAGTATTTGTAGCTCAGGGTTGAAATGAGGGGTCCTCGGTGCTCTCTGAGCTTGGTTGTTTTCTTGCAGACGTTTCATTACCCAAACCTGGGTAATTTCATTACCTTGGGTAATGAAACATCTGCAAGAAAACAACCAAGCTCACAGAGTGCCAAGGACTCCTTCAGTTTTTCCACTTCCCAATCAGAAAGTGTATGGGCATGACAGAGTTACACTCTTACATCCACTTATCTGGAAGTAAGGTCACTGGAATTCAATGTCAAGGGAATTTATTTCAGAGTAGACATTTTGGATATTAATAGATTCATAAGCAATCATTTAAATACTAAAAAGGAGTTTTCCATTCTAAAAGCTTCTAAAACATACCTCAAAATCTTCTGAAAACCCATGCTGGTTGTTGGCATACAATTCACCGATATGCTTCACAAACTGTTTGACAGGAATAGCTTCCATGTCATCTGCAAAATGAAAAAATTAGATTCAGTTCCACTATTTATTCCCATCCCTCCGACAAGCTTGATATTTCCTCTATATACTACTTGCCAATAATATGTTTATAAATATGTTTTAATGTGCATTATCAAGTGAAATCAGCCCAATATATTATTCAGATTGTCTTACCATTTCCTTTGGCTCAGGACTCAAGAAGCCATAACCTTTCCTAAATTGTTGGGCTGTAACTTACAGCTACCAACATCTTTCATTTAAGGTTATATTTGCATGGGCTGCTAGAAGTTGCAGTTGAACAGCATTTAGAACAGGGATATCCAGTCTTGGCGATTTTAAGGCTTGTGGACTTCAACTCCCAGAATTCCCCAGCCAGTCATTCCTCATGCTGGCTGGGGAATTCTGAGAGTTGAAGTCCATAAGTTTTCAAGGAGGCAGGAATGGTGCGGATCCCATCCCCGAGGAAGATACACCTGGTGGGACCCAGAAGAAGGGTTCTCTCCATGGTGGATCCCTCTCTCTAGAACATCATTCCCCCAGAGATTAGAATGGCCCCCACTCTAACATCCTTCCAGAAGGCGCTGAAGACGTGGTTCTGCCAGTGGGCCTGGGGAACCCAGAGACGGATGGAGCCCATTAAATGGCTCATGTGATCTGCTGTCTCCAGGGTGGGGGGGGGGAAGGTGATTTTAGTATATTATTTTGATTCTTTTAAAATTAGTTTTATTGTTTAAAATGAGGTTTTATATTCTATAAGCCGCCTTGAGTCGCCATGTACGAATAGGTGGCAATACAAATTCAATAAATAAACAGACAAACAAACAAATAAGTAAGTAAGTTGCCAATGTTGGACACCCCTGATCCAGAAGAAACCGGTTCCTGTTTTAAATTTTGACATTAATACATTTACTGCCAAAGTTCTCTATGAATGAGATGGGTGATACCTAAATTTGACTAATGAGTAAATGTAATGACTCTGTTGTGTCAAGATGGGCTAATTGTACAGAGTGTTATTCAGGGCTCATTGTGTTGTATAAATATTTTGCTTAATTGGTTTTTGTTTTCATTGAAATATATTTTGCTATTTGCCACAATGCTAATAACAACAGGACAGATTGCCTTGTTTTTGATAAAACTTGTGAGGTGTCTGTGCTTCCTTACTTAGGAAGGGAAAAGCAAGACATTTTGGGAATGAATACCATTTAATGATGTCATCATACCAATATACAGATAACAGATAATCAGAGTTGGAAGGGACTTTGTAGGTCATCTAGTCCAATCCCCTGCCCAAGCGGGAGACCCTACACCATTTCTGACAAATGGCAGTCTAATCTCTTCTTGAAAGCCTCCGGTGATGAAGCTGCCACAACTTCCGAGGGCAAAGCTGTTCCACTGATTGATTGTTCTCACTGTCAGAAAATTTCTCCTTATTTCCAGGTTAAATCTCTCCTTGTTCAGTTTCCATCCACTATTCCTTGTCTAGCCTACAATACTAATAATATATAAGGTACAATAATGTACCTTGGGTCATTTGGAAATCCCAAGTATTATGTCACCTGCAAGATGACATCATTATGTTTACTTTTTGATATAGTGTAATGTGTGAATGTGCTCACTGAACAAGGCAAAGAAACTTTCTATGGAATGATTTCAAAGCATGATTGGTTACTGCCCTTTTCTGCAACTTTGTATTCCCATTAACTTCACTCTGTCTCATATAATCTTCCCTGTTCCATACTTTTCTTCATTATATTCTAGGCACCAATTTTTCTCTCTCCACACACTATAAAATATTTTGCTTTCATTCTTATGTTTTGCAGTAATCATTCTCTTATATGCATTTTTTCTCCTCCATTAACTCTTTCACTTCATCATTCCACAAAGCATCTTTTTTCATATTTCCATTAGCCTAACCTCACAGACTTATAGGTGATTTGGAAAGATGATTTATTTACTCTCTTCCAAGCATCTCCCATATCCGTTTTCCTTACATCTACTTTCCATCCCTTAATCTGGATGGATTAATCTATCTTTCTATTTACTGCTACACAGGCCTTATTTTCCTTCTTTCACAGATTTTCTTATCTTCTCTCAAATCCTTTCTTGAATCTATTAAAAACTGATCTGTTTCATATTTAGAATCTCTCTGCATTCTTAACTCCGTTATTAATTACTTTTCCATCATAAAGAGTGAAATCAAATCAAATTATGGCTAATCAATTATGTTTTGGGATTAATCTGTTTGCCCCTTTTAGACTATGAATTTGAAACACTTCCTTTTTTTAAGCACATGCCAAAAATTAACCATTCCGTTTAACTTTTGGTTTTCTAAAAGGCCCAATAATTTCTTCAGTGCTTTTTTCCCCCACCCACACATTCATGTCAAATAACAGAATATATTTTCTCTTCCAGGTCTTTTTTATGCCAAATGTTGCATAATGTTTCTCAAAATTTAGCCCTGCTTATTGATCAGTGTTCACAGGATCAACTTTGTCCTTTCTGTTAGAATCTCCTTCCTTCCTTCCTTCCTTCCTTCCTTCCTTCCTGGCTCCCTCCCTCCCATTTCATTTCATTATTTCTGACTTCATAAATTGACTGAATAAGTAACTTTCACAATGTCGCCATTTAATATGCATTTATTATGACAGCAATAATATGGGAAAACATGCCTTATATAGCAAATAGCAAAGATGTTATGCGAAACAGGTTTTAATAGGCTGTAATAATCTGTATTTCAGTACAACAAAATAGTAACCAAAGTTAGTCGAGTGCTATGTCATCTTTAATGTGAACTAGTTTTTGACACAGTGGCTGAAAAATTAACAACTTTTCCAAATTTACATTACAGTTACTTTATGGAATTTATAACATTTTGGCTTTCTCATGTTCCACCCTGTCTTGTCTGACCTGACTATGGAACTGCCATCTTTGTTGAGTGGCTGCATTGCAATGTTTCATGAGCATGCAAAATCACAAAATCAACTCTGACATTTTGAATCATACAAGAATAAGCCAATCTTCATGAAGTAGCTATTTAGCTATGTTTTGAGTAGGCCCTTTGAGTTCAAGGAGACATGTTAGTCATGCTTGAAATTATATGTTATGAATTTCAATGGATGTTTCTATCGGTAATTTGCCTTTTTCATTGAACAGGTGCCTGCCTGATTTTAGCCTGAATTTATCTCAAAAAGCCTTTTAAAATTCTTTCTAGCTAGGAACATCTGCAGGTGGAGTCAAAAGAATTACACGATGGTAGGCCCAAACCTGTAGAAACTGAAGCCATGCCTCTTTTTAAAATAATCATTAATCATACCAGTCCATATACCCACCTTTCCTGAGGCAGGGGTGGGATGCAAATATTTTTACTACCAGTTCTGTGGGCGTGGCTAGGTGGGCGTGGCTAAGTGGTCATGACCATGTGACTGGGTAATGTATGTGTGGCTTCTTCTTCTTTTTTTTGCTCCATTTTTTTTTTTTGCTTTCTGGACCTCAGGGAAGCCTCCTGGGCGAAGCAGTAACACAGCGAGGGGGATCCTGACTCAACTAATCATCGGAACAGCTGATCGTCAGGAAGAAAAAAAAAAAGAAATACCGGTTTGACCGAATCGGTAGTTGTTTTTTTACTACCAGTTCGGCCGAACAGTAACATTTTTTACTACTGGAAGGATGGAAGGCTGAGTCAACCTTGAGCCAGTGGGGATTGAACCCCTAGCAGTCAGCAGAATTAGCCTGCAATACTGCATTCTAACCACTGCATCACCACACAGTGGTGCTTACTCTCCATGCTTTACTTCTATTCTTAGCATCATTGGTAAAAGTTGATTACTTTTGAGTTTTTACTCAGTCTTTGAAGTTTGGATTATCCATCTATACCTTTCCTTTGTGACCTTACCCATTTCCTGTATGTGTCACCTTAGATTTCAGATCATGTTGTTATGGCTTCTGTTGTTGTCCTCCATATTTTATCCTCATTGGAACTGTTTTCGACTTCTTTTTTAAACCTCTGTCTTTAGTATCACCCATCCTCTCACACATATTGAGCTATTTTTCCTGAAATATTTTTCTTCCAACATATCCTATGCATCATTGTTCTGAGTTTATAAAATTAGCTGTTTTGAAGCATCTAATATAGAAGAGAATATTTGTAGATCAGGGCTGAACTGTAGAGTCCTTAGTGTTCTCTGAGCTTGATTAATTTTATGCAGACATTTTGCTAGCAAATTATTTAACATCTTCAGTGGTAGAAGGCAGTGGGGTTTGTTCCCTTTTTGTATATTAGCTACTTGCCTTATCAGTGTTGGTGGGAGTGTTCTTGGTGATTTCTTGATTAGGTTATTGTTTACTGTTATCTGAATTGGTAACAGACAAATCAGCCATCAACAGGCACATAAAGCTAAACAACATCTAGATACTATTCAAAAAAGACAATCACAAGCCAAAAAGGAAACAAAAAGACCAAGATGCAGTATCTTCTCACCAGCAGTCAACACCCAGATGAGTAGAGTTAAGGCCAAGATTAACACAACAACAACAATTAAGAAGTAAACAATATCCCAATCAAGCGACTAAAGTTAAAGAATGTTTGAGTTTGTGATTTGTTCACTTTAGATTTATCAGTAAGCCACATATTGTGGAAAAGTAGACAGTCAAGGATACCTGAAGTTTGAGAACTCCACATTCTAGTAGGCAGACCTGTTAGAAAAAGTCATCTCTTTGACATTATTTTTTTTTTGTTTATGCATGTTATAGAGCTTCTCAAATAAAATCTTAAGCAAATTTAAAGGAAATTGTTGCAAGGAGGTAATTTATCTAACTGCTGCTTTAAAACCTTCTACTGTGACAGGAAAAATGTGAAGAAATCATAACTGTTTTAGTCTTCTGAAGAAATGAATGACATCCTATCACATCTAATAAAGAAACCTATTAGTTACTCAGCCTATATTTTATTTGGGCAAGTTGTTTCTTACTAGGGATTCACTAGTATCACAATCAAGTCCTACCATAAAAAACA